ACTAGCCCACTTATACCAGCCGTCACTGAGCACTACACAGTATTACTGACACGACATTCTACATTTATGTTTGAGTGCAAAACTGGGGCCACCATCTTCAAGACTAGCCATGGAATTTAAAATTGATCTTGATGTTAAGGTATAAATAATAATATTCACAAACATTTTTTTTCCTGACTTGGAAGTTCTTTTCTGGCATGACAAAATCCCAAGATTGAATGTGGGTCCACCCAGATTGTAGCCAGTAATGACTAAGTGGAGCACTTTCCAAGTGGATTTTGTTATTTTAAAAACAACGTTAATCTCCCAAATTGTGTTTACTCTTCTGCCAGTTTTACATCACAAGGTTAATTTGGCAGAAATTTTATGAAACCCCTGCTGGAAGTTCCCCCAGGGTGCACCAGAAGTATGCGTCTGCAAATAACCACAGAGTTTCATCTAAAAGACTAATAATGCAAAATCARATAGTATCTATGCATAGATCTGTGTTTACATATACAATTAGATGTTTTAAGATGAGTTTTAGCTTGATTTAAACTAAGTWTTAAGCAGAGTTGTAACTAAGTACAAATGCTTTGTTACTGTACTTAAGTAGAAATTTTGGTTATCTGTATTTTGCTTGAGTAATAACTTTTCAGTGTACTTTTTACTTTTACTCATTAATTTTTACACAGTTATCTGTACTTTCTACTCACTACATTTTTTAAAAAGTTAAGAAGTAGAAAGTCATTACTCCTAATTTATTCTGAGTTGTTATTACTTAAAAAACTATCCTGATAAATTGTGTCTCCAGGATAGAGTGAATTTAATTGTGTTTGGATGAGAAGTATAAATATACAGTATACCATTCTGACACCATATCAGCTTGTACACAACCCATCACAGCTGCACGCTGTTAGAAAAATATTTTTTGGAGAAGCCACCTCCAAATAAATGTCATTTTGGAAAATCTAACTGCTCACTTTTACTCAGTACTTTTACTTTTAATACTTAAGTAGATTTTGAGTCATAAATTTACTTTTGATACTTAAGT